AAAAACAGGATTCAATCTTATATTATCAAATTGAATGTTTTTTCTCTGATTTATAATTTCTGTTTCTATAAAATTCCCTTCACCATAAGAATATTTATAAAAGAGGGTATTTGAGTTACATTTTTGCAACTTAATTACTTGCAGATTGGAAAACTTGACGTTTCTTTGGATGTTTATGTAAAGCTCCGAAGCCAATCTCTTCAAATCAATAATGTCTTTGAAAAATAATTCATTAACCTCATAGTTTTTTCCTTTTTTTTTGGCTTGCCTTATTATAACAGCATATCGATCTGGAACAAAAATTGGATTCTTTTTTTTATATCTTGTAACCTCAGTCTCAATTCTTGCATGTACACTGTCTCCTTCATTTTGACTGTCCTTTGATGAAAAATTTGTGGATAATGGACCTGATTTTAATTTTTGAATTATGTATACACAGAGGGCAAGTATAAAACTTATTTTTGTTTTGCTCGCAACAATTGTCGGAATAGAAGGTTATTTCTAAATCTTCACTTTTTTTGGAAAGAGATTCAATGTATTTGAATATACAAGATCCTACTTCATTTGTACCTCGCTGACCTTCTCCTTCATGCCACAAATAACAGACAGTTGCTGTGGCTTTTATATCAAACATGGTCAAATTGAAAACGTTCAACTTTGAAACGTAATAGAAGGAATTTGCATGACCAGCTGGACAGGGCAACACTTTTTGAAGGTCATAAACTGTAACTTTTACATCATCAGCGCTATTCTGTTTGTCGTTGTCTCTTTCTTCTCGACTGAGGACTTTTTCTCGTAAATGTTCTTCGTACTTTTTTTCAAGTTTAGCTTTTTCCTCTTCTGATCCTTTTTGATATTCTAAAAATAACTCGCATTGATCTTTCTTCGGTACCTGAAAAGACAGATTATACTCCTGTTAAAAATTTTGGAATATAATGGCCAATTTCCACATTCAATTTTTTCTTCTTCACACAATGTCTACTAATGTTTTTCCGCCTTCTATAAATTGCCGTGTAGTATTTGCTCTACAATAATGAGCTTCGATTCTTGGAATTGAATCACTGTGTAGTCTTATTTTATTTTTTATTTCTTCACTCACTTTTTTATGGTTTCCATGTTTTCCTCGTCTGTCGAAGTCAACAACTCTTCCAGTTTCACAAACGGTTTGTTTTTTCAGCAGTTTGAATAGTTCTATTGTTAATTGCTAAAGTCGCCTTAAAAAATTGTTTGCACGCTCTTATGTTTTTTCCCGAGATGATGAAGAAGAATGAATTATTTGGGTTTCTTGGATTCGCAACGTTACTATATTTATATTTGGGACAAATGTTTGTCATATTTGATGCTATATACATATTCCCTTTGTTTTTCGATATCGCCAAGCTTATAAAATTCTGAAGAAATCGTTTCACGTTCTTCCGAAAAAATCTTTTCATAGCATTTAATTCTACATTTTTCACCACATGGTGGTAGAATTGATTTCTTTGGTCGTTCTTTCTTGATTCGTACTGTACCATTTTCATGTTTTCGTACTTCAGTATAAAAGTAAGATTCTCCTTTATTTCTTAAAAATTTTGCGCGATTTTTCTGCCACAGTTCTGGTCTCTTCTTTCTTTTTCTACTATATTTGTCTTTTTGAGTTTGGATCAATACTTTTCTTTTTTTATTTGGTGAAATCTGCTCCCTGTCCTTCTGTTCTGGTTCGTCTGAAGAATTGGATGATTCGGAAGATATTTTGTACAAAGGATCTTGTACACTATCATCGGATCCATATGGGTCATGTTGTAGGTTCTCGTCGAAGCCGGCTTAAAAATAGAAAAATGTAAATAAAATCTCAATTATATCTAATTAATAATAATATATCTATTACTTTCATTAAAATTAGAAACTATGGCGGCATTTCCTAGANCTAGTGTAATTTTTTATTTCCTGTCGATCTATGGTGAAATCAAAACTCGAAGACACGTTATAACGAAGAAATTAATTTTTTTATGAAATTCACCCCATTTCATCCCCCCGTACGGACTGACAAATGAATGTGACACTACTACTTAATGTAATTTTTTTATTTCCTGTCGATCTATGGTGAAATGAAAACTCGAAGACACGTTATAAAGAAGCAATGAATTTTTTTATGAAATTCGCCCCATTTCATCCCCCCGTACGGGCTGACAAATGAATGTGACACTACTAATTAATATAATTTTTTATTTCCTATCGATCTATGGTGAAATGAAAACTCGAAGACACGTTATAACGAAGCAATGAATTTTTTTATGAAATTTGCCCCATTTCATCCCCCCGTACGGGCTGACAAATGAATGTGACACTACTAATAAATGTAATTTTTTATTTCCTGTCGATCTATGGGGAAATGAAAAGTCGAAGACACGTTATAACGAAGCAATGAATTTTTTTTATGAAATTCACCCCATTTCATCCCCCCGTACGGGCTGACAAATGAATGTAACACTGTTAACTAGTGTAATTTTTTATTTTCTGTCGATCTATGGTGAAATGAAAACTCGAAGACACGTTATAACGAAGCAATTAATTTTTTTATGAAATTCACCCCATTTCATCCCCCTGTACGGTCTGACAAATCAATGTGACACTGTTAATTGATGTAATTTTTATTTTCTGTCGATCTATGGTGAATTGAAAACTCGAAGGCACGTAATCACAAAACAAGAAAGTGTTTTATGAAATTCTCATTTCATCCCCCGTACGGGATGACGAATGAATCTGTAATCGTTACTCATTATAATTACTCATTTGCTATCGATCTTTGCTAAAATAAAAACAGTCGAAGACACATTATAAAGGAGCAATGTTTTTTTTTTACTAAATTTTTTATGCGACGACTTTATCGACTCTAGTCCTACTAGAAAATGTGATTGTGGATAACTTCACACCCGTATTTTTGTTTTGCTCGCAACAATTGTCGGAATAGAAGGTTATTTCTAAATCTTCACTTTTTTTGGAAAGAGATTCAATGTATTTGAATATACAAGATCCTACTTCATTTGTACCTCGCTGACCTTCTCCTTCATGCCACAAATAACAGACAGTTGCTGTGGCTTTTATATCAAACATGGTCAAATTGAAAACGTTCAACTTTGAAACGTAATAGAAGGAATTTGCATGACCAGTTGGATAGGGCAACACTTTTTGAAGGTCATAAACTGTAACTTTTACATCATCAGCGCTATTCTGTTTGTCGTTGTCTCTTTCTTCTCGACTGAGGACTTTTTCTCGTAAATGTTCTTCGTACTTTTTTTCAAGTTCAGCTTTTTCCTCTTCTGATCCTTTTTGATATTCCAAGCATAACTCGCATTGATCTTTCTTCGGTACCTGCAAAGACAGATTATACTCCTGTTAAAAATTTTGGAAAATAATTGGCAATTTCCACATTCAATTTTTTCTTCTTCACACAATGTCTACTAATGTTTTTCCGCCTTCTATAAATTGCCGTGTAGTATTTGCTCTACAATAATGAGCTTCGATTCTTGGAATTGAATTAATGTGTAGTTTTATTTTATTTTTTATTTCTTCACTCACTTTTTTATGGTTTCCATGTTTTCCTCGTCTGTCGAAGTCAACAACTCTTCCAGTTTCACAAACGGTTTGTTTTTTCAGCAGTTTGAATAGTTCTATTGTTAATTGCTAAAGTCGCCTTAAAAAATTGTTTGCACGCTCTTATGTTTTTTCCCGAGATGATAAAGAAGAATGCATTATTTGGGTTTCTTGGATTCGCAACGTTACTATATTTATATTTGGGACAAATGTTTGTCATATTTGATGCTATATACATATTCCCTTTGTTTTTCGATATCGCCAAGCTTATAAAATTCTGAAGAAATCGTTTCACGTTCTTCCGAAAAAAATTTCTCATAGCATTTAATTCTACATTTTTCACCACATGGTGGTAGAATTGATTTCTTTGTTCGTTCTTTCTTGATTCGTACTGTACCATTTTCATGTTTTCGTACTTCAGTATAAAAGTAAGATTCTCCTTTATTTCTTAAAAATTTTGCGCGATTTTTCTGCCACAGTTCTGGTCTCTTCTTTCTTTTTCTACTATATTTGTCTTTTTGAGTTTGGATCAATACTTTTCTTTTTTTATTTGGTGAAATCTGCTCCCTGTCCTTCTGTTCTGGTTCGTCTGAAGAATTGGATGATTCGGAAGATATTTTGTACAAAGGATCTTGTACACTATCATCGGATCCATATGGGTCATGTTGTAGGTTCTCGTCGAAGCCGGCTTAAAAATAGAAAAATGTAAATAAAATCTAAATTATATCTAATTAATAATAATATATCTATTACTTTCATTAAAATTAGAAACTATGGCGGCATTTCCTAGATGTTCTTGATTTTCTTTAGGCAACGCAAACGAGGAATCAGCACGAACAGGAAGATGAGCTTGAAGATGATGAACTGCTCGAGGACGTAGGTGAAAGATGTTTCTCTACAACATTGAAGCATACAAATTTAATGTCCGTTACATTATTAACATGATGTACTAAAAGAGTTAGATATTTACCTATAACTTCTATTTTGTCTTCATCTGCCACCGTTCTCATTACTTCACTATCTTTTAGTGTTGATTCTGCAATGTCTGAAAACAATATATCAATTTTAACAGTATTGCTGACAAAATCATTCATACTACCTTGAGTGAGAATATAATTTTCTTCATAAATTTGAGATTCAGATTATCCTGCTCGAAAAATCGCGCGTGTTTTAAAGACCTTAATATCCACTTATACTTTAAATACTATTTCCTGAATGACATTAGAGCATATTTTCTACCACTGTAGATTTTTTTTTCAATTGTCACAGAAAGACGATTTATTCGAAATGAACAAATTAATTCAACACAACTAAATAGCTATTTTTTGATACGTCGATTTAAGTGATCAGCTTTCTGGAAGTAAACGCTTTTTTGAATTGTAGACAACGAAATCGTAGATTAAATTTAATATTCACTTTTGTTTCAGTTGCAAAATCCAGTAACCTATACCATGGCCTTGGTCTGGCGTTCCCATGTCACGTGGGCCAAAAAGAAGCATCGTTATTGGTAGGCAGGGCAGTGAGGCTAAAGGAAAGGAAACCAGTGCTGTTGCTAAGCGGCGATCCCGTCCCGACCGTCTTTTATTGCCTCGTCAGCTCTCGTCAAGACTGATGTGTTATTACTTCGGGTAACTGATTGAAGGTATAAAACTTGTAAGTTTTACAGTTTAAGAGTGTCCTACTATTGTTTAAGTGCTTCAAGTTTTGAGTTGTTTAGTTTCAATGAAGCACACTCACAGATAAGTAATTTTATATAATTTTATTTTTACCTTTCAATGTTTGACTGCGTTTGAACATAATGTGTGAGCAAACCGGGATGTAGTTTCTTCTTTATTGTAAACGTCATTTTTTAGATTTGATTACGACGATAAAGACGAAATTTTAATTCGGGGACGCCCCACGCCTTGCCTCGGCATTTCCCAATTGCATATAAAATTGGGTCAAGCTTTCTCTCGAAATTTTAAGACCATCCTTAGTGATGCGGAAGTTTCCAATGTTTGTTTTGTTGGCCGTGTTTACTGTGGATTTAAAAAATCTGTCTGCCGCCATAAAAAAGTATGAGTTATCAAAGGAACATTTAAGTAACTACCTTCACCTAAAACGGTTAGAAGTGTACAGTAACACTAGAAGAGCTTTGAAAACGCAATCGAATATCTCTTTGAAGTCGTACAATGATAATGTTAGGAAAAATCGCAAGTTGCTGAAATATTTAATAGATGTAATTTGCTAATTGGCAAAACAAGAATTGTTCGCGGACAGTAACTATGCGTTCAATGCTAACAGCTTTCGTGAATTGGTAGATTTAATTATTACAATTAGAGAACGGTTTCTGAGTTTTCAGCACGGCACATGCAGTATACAGTTTAATTACAATTGTTCTAACAGCTTTTAATTTTAAAACTAAGATTAATAAGGGCGGTGCTATGATGGCGCTTGTGTCGCGGTAGCGTCCTTGGACGGCTTGCAAAGAAAAATTAAGAGACAACGCACAAAACGCATTACGTAATAAGATATTCTCTGATGTGTTTTCGACTAGCAACTCTCATTAATTTGATATTAACATTTTAGTGCAAAAACGCGTTTCTTTAGTTTTTTTGCTTATAAAACCAAAACTAGTAGAGCAATCTCAATTCCGTAAATGAAAAAGTTGTAGGAAATTAAATTTCGAAGAAGGTGAGAGGTCGAGCGATTCGATCGGTTGATTAGAACCGGAGAAAATTTGGAAAAACCGGAAAATTCGGCCATTTTTTTTTAAATTCGTAAGTTTGTCATTTATGAAGATTAAAAGCAGAAATTTGGCACAAAAGTAGATAATTATATAAACTTTAAATAATTTTAAATTTTTTTAAATAATTTAAAAACTAGTTAAGTGAAATAATTTGAAATTAGGCACATGTATTTATGTAAACATTGTCCAAAATCTTTTCCTAAAATTTACATGCTCCAGTGGGGCAGATATAGGGTATCGGTGGCATATTTTTCTAAATAAAGTAGTACGCCACTGCTTTACGGTAACAACTATGATATTTTCGGATACGTCTTTCAATTTTCTACAAATTACTACCCTCTTATGTTTTTCGAAAAAAGCCTGATTTTCGAGTAAAACTTAAAAAACCAACTGAAAAATTTTTTATTTAAATGACATGACTAATCATTTGGTTATTTATTCGAATAAAGAAATTAATAACACGCCATCATTTTAATGATTTTGTTTGCGTGCTCAAATATACCTCCATTTCCTCGAAAACAGACGCGACATCTTTTTAGTAACGAAAATGCGAAATTTATTGTTGGTTGAATCTTATGAAACGCATTATTTATTCTTTCTTCTAACTGCTCAGAATGCCAATGTAATTTTAAACCGCATTTTATTTGAATGTCGAAGCGTGTTTTCAGTTGGTTTTTTAAGTTTTTCTGGAAAATCAGGCCTTTTTCAAAAAACATGAGAGTAGTAATTTGTAGAAAATCGGAAGACGAATCCGAAAATATCATGGTTGTTACTTTAAAACAGTGGCGTACTATTTTATTTAAAAAATATGCCACCGATACCCTGTATCTCCGCTACTGAAGCATACAAATTTTAGGAAAAGTCATCGATTTTGGACAATGTTTAGATATATACATGTGCCCAATTTCAAATTATTTCACTTACTAGTTTTTAAATTATTTCAAAAATTTAAAAATACTTTTTGGTGTTTAACACCCTGTATCTTCTTAACGAAGCGCCCTAGATAAAAACTTTATACGAAAGACTCTCCTTAAAATTTACCAAAGAATACGAGGTTTCATTTTTGGTCACCATTTGTGAATCACCCTGTATAATATAAGTTTTCAGTAAAAAATAAACGTATCAATTTGGTCTGTAAAAAATAATTGTAACGAAATAAAAGTAAAGAAGTTAAAGAAGGTTGTGTATTAATAAAAATATATCTGAATTTTTAGATTATGTCTTTATTTAGTGTTACCAATAAAGTACGCTATATATGGAAATTTTTTTATTAATCGATTTTCGAAAAATTTAACTTTGCAAATTGTAGAGTGGAAATACCTATCAGAAATGTTAAAAAGTCTAAACTCATGAAAAAAAAATTGGGAAACGTGATAAGTACCAAGAAGTAATTTTAAGTGCTAATAACCAATTTTTAACTCTGCATTAAGTTCATATAGAAATCCTTACGTTCTTGTTTATTTAAATAGGGCACTAAATAGGTCACTAAATGTCGTTTCTTGTTTGTACTGTATTGCGATGTTGATGTGGAATCGAATTTTTTATTCCATTATTTCGGAGGTAAGAACTGTGGCCGCTCTAATAACTTGTATTAAATCGAAAACACCAGTTGCCACTAGAGAAACGTAAAGAAAAACAATCATGCAAACTAACCTCAAATTAGGTTTCCCTTTTCCTGCCATTTGTTGTTGCGATCAATGTAAGAATTTCCTCCAGTTTTTAACCGTCCCAGTTCAGCAATGAATGAACCACTATTTTTATGCCTTTGTTTATCCATCTTTAGTACTTATCGTCTATTTATAAACAACATACACATTAACACAAAGCGCGCGCAACTGTACTTGTTTCGTTTTCAAATGTCACTTAGCACCTAAGAAATATTATGTGGCACTTATCTCTCGCGTCATTTTAAGTCGCTCTTTAAAGTATTACATTTAGATCTGGCGCTTGACGCGGTTCATCAGACATTGGCGATTGGTACATGGATCATTTTAATGTGCTAAAACAGGTTTTAGAAAAAATTGCATTTAACACCTTTGATACTTCCACTCTTCAATTGTTGTTACTTAAAGTAATGACAAATGACGTACCAAAGTGAATTATGTGGTTTTATCGTATTTTTTAAATATCGGAAATGAGATTATTTCTTAGAATTTGAAAGAATAGAAATATTGGGAATTTGTACTGTTTGTAGTGTACTTTTTAGAGAAACTGTTTTTCAATCAATCAATTTATTTCTTGTTCTAGGTGACAATGTTAGAGGCAAGTTGGGGGTTAATTTGTGATATTTTTGCATTTTTCAGACTGATATACTTACCACGATCATTTTAAATGCCTCTCATGTCTTGTCTTTTTTTTAAAATAAATGAATTTATAATTTATAATATTTTACATTTGCGAAGTGGCTATTTTTCATAATTTTAAGAAGCGTCAGAAAAGTTCTTTATTTTTTCAGTACCTTTACATCAATTTTATTTTAGAATATCATCTCGCACTTTACATTTTAAAGATAAAAAGAAACTTACTTATTCCTCTGCCCACAAGAAGAATGTTTAACCTTTGCTGTACACACCTCAATATAATTCTATACGATACACATGAGGTAGACGTATTGAATATAGTACCTGGTTTTGGGGCAGGTAACGAACGGACTTTCCTTTTAATTACGGTCGTCTATTGTAACTGTTTATTGCAGTATTTGCTATTGGCTCTAAGGCGGCTTATCTCCGCATGATGCTCCCGTTTATTTTTATTAACAGTACCGATAATTGGCAGGCAGTATGGTGGTTTAAGCAAACATTCGATAGTCGTATTTGCGTAAAGTAGTTATCACAAGTAACAGTTCTATTGATATCGTGAATTGGTGCATTAACTTCTTAAAAAATATATTTAAGAATCAATTTTTTCTCTGCAATAACATTTTGTTTCCCCAAGTAAGGAATCTCATGAATCTGGAAATAAATACAATAATGAACAGTAAGGTTAATATATCAATACATGTCACTAGTAAGAAAAAATGCCGAATAAGTGTTGATTGTAGGAAAAATATGTATTATAGCAAAAAATTAAAAATACTGGATATGCATTGAAATTTATTATAATAAGTGCCAACAAAATTGTTTTTGAGTATGGTGAAAAGAACCTTTTTATTTCTGACACCTCAAAACTGAAAGAAACCAATGGATGACACAATGTGTTTACCGAATAGGTGACACACTTTAATATTATCTAAAGTTCTTTAACAGGCAACGATTGTCCAAACCTTTCTCCTCGGCTTAAAATTTCTGGATGAGGCACTTGCCTATCAGCTGGTCCTGTTCATTTGCAACAAACTCTTTCTTTCCCTTAACCGTAGATTTTACTCCCATGAATTCAATATGTGGCTCTATTTTTTCTTGTACCACACAAAGACATATAAATTTTGTCTGATTGCGTTTTCCACCCAAAAATTCACAGCAGAAAATCACCCTTCGTTATATTTCCCAAGTTTTCTGGTTGAAATTGTAATTCATTGTTGTTGTCATCAAATAAATTCATACCATGGAGAAGATTCGCCATTATCAAATGATAGCGACTCTGAAGTTGTGGACTCTATGTCATCTTGCTTTCTTCTTTTGCTTTTATCACTTATTTATTTCTTCTTCAATTTCTGTTCCTCAATAGTTTTCTTCCTTTCTTGTGTCTCTTTACATTTTCGTGCTCTTTCCTCCTTTATCTTTGTTTGCTTTTCTGCCTTCTCTTGTTTTTCATCTTTTTTTAAATAATTGATCATTTGAGGTGATCTAAGAACAGCAGGAATTTTTTCTTTTTTCATTCTTTTTGAAGTGGTGGGTCGGTTCGCAGGCCAGAACAATGCTCTTTTAAATGGTGAGGGAATTGTAAGATCAATAGCGATTGATTACTACAACTTGTATTAGTCTTTTTGTCAGGTGTGGTTTCTTACAATAGTGCTGTTGACTGAAACCCAGATGGTCCAGGTTCTGTTATGGAAATATCATTTCTCTGCTACTCTGACAGTATTTCTGCGATATTTTCTGATA